ACTACCTAACAGAATACTCCATTCTACTGAATGTACAACAATGCATACAACCATATGACCTGTCTTTGTAATACTCACTTGTGCTTTATAGTAATCTGTTTACATTAAAGTTTTATCACTGATGTCATCATTGCTTAGTTCATCTTAAGTTAATTTTAAGCCAGCCCGTAATGCTATGCATAGTATAAGTGGCTTTGGCATGCTGCTCTTATCTGTATTTTTTGTACCTCTGTATGTGTGCTCAAATTTTTAAATAAATAAATAAATAAATAAATAAATAAAAAAATAAATTATCTTCATTCAGCAAGCTTGTCTTGTGTGCGAGTGTGTGGCTTATAATTGTTTTGAGTCAGGAGTCGGCAGCTGTCAAAAGGACATATTGTATCATTACTCACTCCCCCTACCGCCTGTCAAAACAATGGGGTTGGATGCTGCTTCCCCTTCATTCTATCTAATTATCTTTCTCCCTCATTCTATCTCTTTCAATCTGTCTCTCTCTTTCTATCTGTCTGTCTATCTCTGTCTCACAGGTACACATAAATACAAGTATACATAGTGTAAATTACCTAGGATAACCCAAAAAATCCAGACAAAGTACTATACTCTGCTTGAAGAAGTGAGTAAATGTGATGATGACACAGTCTTGTGGCTCTCTCTGAGACAGAGAGCTAGACAGATAGACAGGGAGCTTGGCAGACAGACAAATAGACAGACAGAAATGTTTGTGTACCAGCAAAAACAAAGTGAGGGGGATGGTCATCTAATCTTTTCTTATCAGCTGCACCCTCCTCCACCCTTGATTACGCTCATCAAACGTCAGCTCTTATCAGATGTTATCTCCCCTTATCTTGTCACTGTCATGGGGTGGACTTTTTTTTTTCTTGCTTCAAGGGAACAATATTATTTCTTCTTCTTCTTCTTCTTCTTCTTCTTCTTCTTCTTCTTCTTCTTCCACTTCTTCCTCTTCTTCCTCTTCTTCTTTTTCCTCTTCTTCTTCCTCTTCTTCCTCCTCTTCTTCTTCCTCCTCTTCTTCTTCCTCCTCTTCTTCTTCCTCCTCTTCTTCTTCCTCCTCTTCTTCTTCCTCCTCTTCTTCTTCCTCCTCTTCTTCCTCTTGACAGTGTTTACCACAACAAAGAGGGAGCAGTTGTGGCCGCCTCCACTTGTTACATAATGACGTATTTTATTCATTCTTGCGTGTATATCATGTTTCTTTGTTATTTATATTGTTTGTTATGTCATATTAGATGAACTGTGATATGTAAATAAGCCGTATAGATGATATTAGCGAAATTATTCATGAAGTATTTTGCCCGGTCTCCAGACAAATATTTGTCCACCAACGACACCGCCCATACCACTACATGAATGACATATTTTATTCATTCTAGAGTATACAGTGGACCCCCGGTTCCCGATATTAATCCGTTCCTGAGAGCTCATCGCAAACCAAAAATATCGGAAAGCGAATCAATTTTCCCCATAAGAAATAATGGAAGTCAAATTAATCCGTGCAGACACCCAAAAGTATGAAAAAAAAAACTTTTACCACATGAAATATTAAGTTTTTTGCAATAGAATAATTACAATAACAACAATAACAATGGATAACAATAACAATAGAATATAATTGACACTTACCTTTAATGAAGATCTGGTGATGATTGATGGGATGGGAGGAGTGTGTGTTGAACCTATTGCATAGAAGGGGAATCCCCCTCCAGTAGCACTGGAGGTATCAAGTCTTTTTCCGGGGTTACTTCCCTTCTTTTAATGCCACTAGGACCAGCTTGAGAGTCACTGGACTTCTGTCGCACAACATATCTGTCCATAGAGACCTGTACCTCCCGTTCCTTTATGACTTTCCTAAAGTGGTTCACAACAGTGTCATTGTACAGGTTGCCAACACGGCTTGCAGTAGTTGTTTGAGGGTGATTTTCTTCAAAAAAGCTTTTCACTTCAAGCCATTTTGCACACATTTCCCTAATCTTTGAAGTAGGCAACTGCTTCACTTTCTCTATCCCCTCCTTCGAAGCAGTTTCCTCAGGTCTGGCCTCTTGCTGCTGAAGATGATCTAGCAGTTCATCAGTGGATAGTTCGTCATTGTCCTCCTCCACCAACTCTTCCACATCCTCCCCACTAACCTCCAACCCCAAGGACTACCCCAATGCCACTTTCGTACTTTGCAATTACCTCTTTCTTCATTTCAATAGTCAGTAGCACCCTTGGTCTGGAAGGGTTGGCACTAGAAGCTTTCTTGGGGCCCATGGTGACTTATTTTGCAGAAACAAGCACCAAAAACAGTGATAATATTGATAATATGGAATGTACCGAATGTATCCTTTGATGCGCGCACACTGGCTAGCTTGTAAACACTGGTACACACGGGGGAGTTCAGGCCACAATTGGACACGTCTCGTACGAATTGTATCACATACCGGGTATTGTATCGGGAAGTGAGGCAAAAATTTTTTGGTCAAATGCATCGGCAACCGAATTTATCGGATACTGGTAACATCGGGAACCAGGGGTCCACTGTATATCATATTTCTATATTATTCATATTGTTTGTTATGTCATATTAGATGAACTGTGATATATAAATGAGCCGTATAGATGATATTAGCGAAATTATTCATGAAGTATTTTGCCCGGTCTCCAGACAAACTCTCGTCCACCGCCGACTCCGCCCATACCACTACATGAATGACATATTTTATTCATTCTAGAGTATATATCATGTTTCTATGTTATTCATATTGTTTGTTATGTCATATTAGATGAACTGTGGTATATAAATAAGCTGTATAGATGATATTAGCAAAATTATTCATGAAGTACAGTGGACCCCCACCTTACGGTATTAATCCGATCCTGAGAGCTCATCGTATGCCGAAATTATTGTAAGTTGAATTAATTTTCCCCATACGAAATAATGGAAATCAAATTAATCCATTCCTGACACCCCAAAGTATGAAAAAAAAAAATTTTTTACCACATGAAATATTAATTTTAATACACACAAACTGACACTTACCTTTATTGAAGATCTGGTGATGATTGATGGGATGGGAGGAGGGGAGAGTGTGGAAGTTGTTAATGTTTAGAAGGGGAATCCCCTTCCATTCGAACTTTAGGTAGCACGTTCTTTTCCGGGGTTACTTCCCTTCTTCTTTTAATGCCACTAGGACCAGCTTGAGAGTCACTGGACCTCTGTCACACAGCATATCTGTCCATAGAGGTCTGTACCTCCCGTTACTTTATGATTTGTCTAAAGTGGTTCACAACATAGTCATTGTAATAGTCACCAGCACAGCTTGCAATAGCTGTGTGAGGGTGATTTTCATTCATAAAGGTTTGCACGTCAAGCCACTTTGCACACATTTCCTTAATCTTTGAAGTAGGCAACTTCTTCAATTTCTCTCTCCCCTCTTCCGAAGCAGTTTCCTCATGTCTGGCCTCTTGCTGTTGAAGATGATCTTGCAGTTCATCAGTGGTTAGTTCTTCATTGTCCTCCTCCACCAACTCTTCCACATCCTCCCCACTAACCTCCAACCCCAAGGACTTCCCCAATTCTCTCTGTTCTCTGTTGATTCCACAACTGGCATACGCTTTTCGGGGTTAGCCTCAATTCCTTCAAAATCTCTTTTGTCTACACATTCTGGCCACAGTTTCTTCCAAGCAGAGTTCAAGGTCCTCTTAGCGACTCCCTCCCAAGCCTTACCTATAAGGTTTACACAACTGAGGATACTAAAGTGATCTTTCCAAAACTCTCTTAGAGTCAATCGAGTGTCTGAGGTCACTACAAAGCACTTTTGAAACATAGCTTTTCTATAGAGTTTTTTGAAGTTTGAAATGACCTGCTGGTCCATGGGCTGCAGGAGAGGAGTGGTATTAGGAGGCAAAAACTTGACCTTAATGAAGCTCATGTCCCCAGAAAGTCGATCTGCCAAGTCTGAAGGATGACCATGAGTATTGTCTAATACCAGCAGGCACTTCAGGTCCAATTTATTTTCCAGGAGGCAATTTTTCACAGTGGAGGCAAATGCATGGTGTAACCAGTCATAGAAAAAGTCCCTAGTGACCCATGCCTTAGTGTTTGCCCTCCACAGCACACACAAATTAGCCTTGAGGACATTGTTTCTCCTGAACACTCTGGGAGTTTCAGAGTGATACACCAATAAAGGCTTCACTTTGCAATCACCACTAGCATTAACACACATCAACAGAGTAAGCCTGTCTTTCATAGGCTTATATACTGGGAGTGCCTTTTCCTCCTGAGTAATGTAGGTCCTGTTTGGCATTTTCTTCCAAAACAGGCCTGTTTCATCACAATTAAACACTTGGTCAGGTTTCAGTCCTTCACTGTCTATGTACTCCTTGAATTCCTTCACATATTTTTCAGCCGCTTTTTGGTCCGAACTGGCAGCCTCACCATGCCTTATCACACTACGTATGCCACTACAATTCTTAAATCTCTCAAACCAACCTTTTGCTAGCCTTAAATTCACTCACATCACCACTAGTTGCAGGCATTTTTCTAATTAAATCATCATGCAACTTCCTAGCCTTTTCACATATGATCGCTTGAGAGATGCTATCTTCTGCTATCTGGTTTTCGTTTATCCACACCAATAACAGTCTCCCAACATCTTCGAGTACTTGCGATCTCTTATTTGAAAACAAAGTTGCACCTTTTGCAAGAACAGCTTCCTTGATTGCTGTTTTGTTGGCCTCGATAGTGGCAATGGTTGATTGGAGTTTGGTATACAACCTGGCCAGCTCGGAGACACGCACTCCACTTTCGTACTTAGCAATTATCTCTTTCTTCATTTCCATAGTAATTTTCACCTTTTTACCGCACGGTTGGCACTAGAAGCTTTCTTGGGGCAATGGTGACTTATTTTGCAGGCACAATCACTAAAAATGCTGTGATAATATGAAATGTTCCAATTGTATGCATGGATGCGACCGCACTGGCTGGCTTGTAAGCACTGGCACCCACGGGGCAGCTGAGGCACGCTCAAGCCACACATGAGACGCGTCTCGGATGAATCGCATGAGGTGAGTTTTTTAGCATGAGGCGAGGCAAAATTTTTGTGTTAAAATGTATCTTATGGTGGATTTAACGTAGCATGATGTCATCATAAGGTAGGGGTCCACTGTATTTTGCCCGGTCTCCAGACAAACTCTCGTCCACCACAGACACTGCCCATACCACTACACGAATGACATAATTTATTCATTTCAGAGTATATATAAAGTTTCTATGTTAATTATATTGTTCATGTCATATTAGATGAAGTGAGATAGACAAATTAGCCGTAGAGTTGATATCAGCGATATTATTGAAGTACAGAATTCCACTGGAACGGATTAATTGCATTTCAGTTAATTTAAATGAGGAAAATTGACTCTGCAAACGAGCAAATCCAGTTGCGAGCAAGGTCATGGAACAGATTAAAGCCGCAAGTAGAGGTTCCACTGTATTTTTTTTTTTTACTGTGCTCACCCACCTCACAGATCCCTGTTATCATGTCAAGGCCAAAATATACTGAACACAATTTATTTGAGGGCCTTATAATTAAAATGTAGATCTACATAAGTGACACTAGCCTCAAATGATGTAGATCTACATGAGAGACAGTATAAGAGTTATGTGCTCCTGTGTCATGTATGTGTATTCTCAAAATCTTTAATATAATGTTCTGATTTAGATTTTTATAATAAATTTTTGTTACAGAAATTCTGCCAGTTGTAGAGTTTGTGTTAGAAGAAGGAATCTCAGATGAAGAAGCTGTTCGTCTCATCCAGCACGCAGTTGGTGGAGGTTCAGGTGAGAGTAAAGGTTCAGCAGGAGAAAATGAAGATGATGATGATGAAAATAACCGCTGGAAACAAACAGATTCAGGAAGTGCTCAAGCTCTTACCTTAGACACCTCACCAATACATTCACACAGTGGTGATGATCCCTTCACAGCTAATCTTATGAACTTCTATGTGAGTATCGCTGTGATGATACAGTGTTTCTACAAATGGATATTTAATTTTACATTTGTTTTTTAACGCATCAGCCATTTCCCACCAAGGCAGGGTGGCCCAAAAAAGAAAAACTTTCACCATCACTCACTTCATCACTGTCTTGGCAGAGGCATGCCTACACTACAGTTATAAAACTGCAACATTAACACCCCTCCTTCAGAGTGCAGGCACTGTACTTTCCATCTCCAGGACTCAAGTCTGGCCTGCTGGTTTTCTTGAATCCCTTCATAAATGTTACCATGCTCACACTCCAACAGCACGTCAAGTCCTAAAAACCATTTGTCTCCATTCGCTCCTATCTAACATGCTCACACATGCTTGCTAGAAGTCCAAGCCCCTTGCACACAAACTTTCTTTACCTCCCCTCCAACCTTTCCTAGGCCGACCTTTACCCCGCCTTCCCTCCACTACAGATTTATACACTCTTGAAGTCATTACATTTTGTTCCATTCTCTCTACATGTCCAAACCACCTCAACGCCCTCTCCTCAGACCTCTGGATAATAGTTTTGGTAATCCCACACCTCCTGCTAATTTCCATTATACAGTGGAACCTCTACTTGCGAGCATGTCCACATTCGAGTTTTTTCAAATACGAGCAGTCAATGGGTCAATTTTTTGCTTCCATACACGAGCAAAATTTCCACAAGTGAGCAGACCTCAAGGCACTGGTGAGGGGCTCTTGCTCTTGTTCTCGGGAATTGTATCTCATTTCTTTGTTGGACTATCTTATTGAAACTTGGGCAATGTATGATGGAAAGATGCTTCTCAACGTACACCAAAAATGAAAAAAATCTAAGAATAAATAATGGAGTTCACTTCTCAGCAATTAGCCGCCCCTTTGCGGTAATTTCAAATGGTTTTTATGGTTGTATTCTCGTTTTTTTGGTCTCATTTGATAGAGTGGAGATATATTACAGAAATAGATATGATTTTGATTGCTTTCATGACGAAAAGTGCCTTGAAATAGAGCTCAACCTAGGAGAAATGGTCCATTGCTTGGCTGTTTCAGAGTAAACAAATGAGGTCACTATCCATTCCAATATGCAGTCGTGAATGGGTTGACATTATTTAAACAATTATTGCAATAAGGAATAACAGTAAATCTTATATTTATTGTGTGAATAAAAATTACAAATTTTTATATAATGATAATATTAATAATAATAATATGTATAATAATAATACGTATAATAATAATAGTATAATAATATAATACAATAATTTATTTATTTATTTATTTATTTAAAAATTTGAGCACACATACAGAGGTACAAAAAATACAGATAAGAGCAGCATGCCAAAGCCACTTATACTATGCATAGCATTACGGGCTGGCTTAATATTAACTTAAGATTAACTAAGCAATGTGAAATCATGATAAACTTTAATGTAAACAGATTCACTATAAACGCCCAAAAAGTGAGTATCAAGACAGGTCATATGGTTGTATGCTTTGTGTACATTCAGTAAATGAGTATTCTGTTAGGTATGTTTTAAAATAATAAATTAGATTGGGTTTTTAGTTTAACATTTATGATGTATACAATTGTGAGAAAACAACATTTAAGATATACAATTTTAGGTTCAGTTATTCATTATTTAGGTGCTTTGGGTGATGTAAGTGATCTTTGAAGAAGAGACTGATTTTATAAAACAGGTCGAGTTTTCTTTTATATTTACAAGGTAATGAATTCCAGATTTGGCCTTTTATGTGACAATGAGTTTGTTCAATAGTGTGAGAATGACGCGAGGAACATCAAAGAGTGATCAGTGCCTTGTGTTATGGTCATGTTCGTTGAGGTTGCAAGGATGATGTTTTGAGGGAGGGTTAATATCAGAGTTAAGTGTTTGTGTATGTATAGGTGCAGTAATAAGTATGGTTGTTTTGTATGGTGAGTAGGTTTAGTGTATTGAATATTGGTGGAGTGTGCTGCCTATATGAGAATTGTTACATTCTAACTGCAGCCTTTTGTTGGGTAATTAGTGGTCTGAGATGGTTACTTGTACGTTGACCCATGCCACAAATTCCATAGTAGATTAGTTGGTAAATAAGAGAGTGATATAGGGCCAGGAGGGCTTGACTGTGGAGCATAGTACGTATCTTCGATCGAATACCTAACAGTCTTGGAAAATTTCTTATGAAATGTTGATGTATTGTGTATGAAATTTGAGTCTATTATCAAGGTGGATTCCTAAATGAATTCTCCTCTGTAGCTTTGGGATAGGGATCGTTTGATCATTATGTTAAGGAGGGACATCTGTACTCTGTTACCAAAATGTACTGAAGTAGTGTTTTGTCATTGTTTTGTGTTTGTGAGTCAATGCCAGAACGCATAATTTCTGTACATTCGGATATTACAGTGGTATTGGCAGTAGAGTGACTGAGGCTCGGTGGGTGAAGATTGTAGTGTCATCTGCAAAAAAGTGTGGGTTTGAGTAATTGCGAAGCATTTGGTAGTGTCAATTATATATAGGAAAAGAGAAGAGGGCCAAGGACACTTCCCTGTAGGTGACCGATCCAAACTGTAATTGGTTTGCAGAAGAGTTTGCACCCAATTTGCATACACTTATTGCTTCTGTTGCTGAGTATGATTGAGGTACGTTGAGGGGAAGTGCCTTCTCGTATATACCATAGTGTGACAATTTACGTGGAGCAAGTCATGGTTAACTGTAGTCAAAAGCTTTAAACGAAGTCAATGAAGATCCCCAGTGGACTTCTTTTCTCTATTGCAGTGTTATATGTTCTAGCATAGTGTTATAATTAGCATCTTGTATTTTTATTAGGCCTGATCCAAATTGGAGGGGTCTGAGTGATTTTTGCGGGATAAGGTAGGAGTAGATTCGTTATGAATTAATTTTTCGCAAGATTTTTGAGAGAGGGTGTAGTATGGATCTTGCCTATATTTATTCAACTCTGTTGGTCTCTCTTTGTGGATTGGGGTGACCCTTGCTATTTTGATACTGTAAGGGAAGGTGGAGGATTCAATGGATTTGTTAAAGAGTGTTGCAAGATTGGTGATAGCACTTGTGACACTTTTTTGTATATAAAGGGGGGTAAGGTATTTAAATCTCCTGCCTTGTTTTTTAGTGTGTTGATAAAAAAGGGAGACTTCGTATGGGTTAGTCGGAGCTGGGAACAGTGTGTTCGGGTAGTTGCCGTTGAGGTAGTCATTTGGTGGGTATCTGAGTTTGGGATTTTATTGCAAGGTTTTGTCCTATAGTGGAGAAGAAGTCATTGAGTCTGTTTGCTGTTTCTGTTGGTGGGAGTTGGGGTTCATCTGATTTTGCTAATTTTATTTCGCTATTTCGTGATATCTTTTTTGATCCTAGAATTTCTGATAGGGTTTTCCAGGTCTTTTTTATAATCACCTCGTAAGTTGGATAATCTGTTCTCATAATACAATTTTTTTGCCCTTCTTATCAGGCTGGTTAGGATTGACGAGTACGTTTTGTTTGGTCTCTGGTTATGTGACCCATTCTGTACTGTTTTTCATATTGGTGTTTTGTATTTATGGATTTGAGAATGCTGAGTGTTAACCAGGGACTGTTCAGTCTCTTATGCTGTCATCTGTTTAGTTTTTTTAGGGCAGTGCTTGTTATAGAGGTATTGGGTTTTTTTTAGAAAATTATTAATACATTCGTCAATATCTGTATAGATTTCTAGCTCAGTGTGCCAGTCAATGTTTGCTACTGCTGTTGTGAAGTTATTAATGGCTGCCTCATTGTGAAGTCTGAAGGTGACTTTAGTAGTGTCTTGGGGTAATTTACCAAGAGTTGTTATGAGAAAAGTAGGGTAGTGGTCTGTGGTATTATCTGTAATTATGCCTGATTTTAAAGGGGATATGGTGTTGGTCCAGATGTGGTCAAGTAGGGAAACACTAGTCTCTGTAACTCTTGTAGGTTTTGTTACTGTTGGTAGCAACATACAGTTACTCATTGTGTTTGTGAATTCAGTAACGTGTGGGTCCTGGTCTTGCAGGAGATTTATATTGAAGTCACCTGAGAGTAGTATAATAGTATAATATGTAGTATAATATGTATAATAATAATACCTATAATAATAATAGTATAATATAATACAATAATAATAATAATCATAGGTAGTAGGTTGGTAGACAGCAACCGCCCAGGGAGGTACTACCATCCTGCCAAATGAGTGTAAAACGAAAGCCTGTAATTGTCTTACATGATGGTAGGATTGCTGGTGTCCTTTTTTCTTGTCTCATGAACATGCAAGATTTCAGGTATGTCTTGCTACTTCTACTTACACTTAGGTCACACTACACATACATGTACAAGCACATATATACACACCTGTCTGAGTTTTCTTCTATTTTCTTTCTAGTTCTTATTCTTGTTTGTTTCCTCTTATCTCCATGGGGAAGTGGAACAGAATTCTTCCTCCGTAAGCCATGCGTGTTGTAAGAGGCGACTAAAATGCCGGGAGCAAGGGGCTAGTAACCTCTTCTCCTGTATATATTACTAAATGTAAATGGAGAAACTTTCATTTTTTCTTTTGGGCCACCCCGCCTCGGTGGGATACAGCCAGTGTGTTGAAAGAAAGAAAGAAGAAGAATAATAATATGTATATTAACCCTTTCAGGGTCCGTCCCGTAGATCTACGGCTTTACGTTCAGGGTCCAAACCGTAGATCTATGCCAAAATTCTAGCGCCCTCAGATTTAGCATGAGAAGGCTGGTAGGCCTACATCTAACAGAATGGGTCTGGGTGGTCAGTGTGCACACCATAGAAAAAATCTGGACGCCCACATGGCATTGTGGGAACGCCGGCAAAGTAGCTTTGTTCATAGTGCCTGGCGGCAAGATGCTCTCACTCCCCACTCACTCTCCAGGCGAATTCTGACTCTCCTCTTCACAACTTACAGTTCTAAGACTGATGGAAGTGGAGCTGAAGACGAATTCTATGGTTTTGAACCATATGGTACCATTGTGCCAT